TATGTACTTTAATGGGATTATAGGATATTTGTGGTCGTATTAGTGACTTGGTAAATGTTTAAATCTGTTCTAATAATCAATATAATGTGAAATGTGTACAGATGACATTAAAGGAAAGGATGTGTTGATGCATTTTTAGTGTATTACATGATAATATGTACTAGCCAATAGTTTCTTCTCCAGACCATTTGCTTAAGCTGTGGCTCAAGCAAAAAAAGTTAAAAAGTCTATTTGTGTATGATTTCTTGTGTGTGCCCCTTGTCTGCAAGTGAGTCCTAGTATTTGGAGATAATTAACCAAAGGAATTCGAGAGGTGCATGCCTCACACAGTGCAACAGGTTGTGAAATCTTGGAACAAAACATTTTAAAGTTCATTAAGTTTTAGTGACTTTTTTTTTTAAATTACTGTTTAGAATTTGGGCAGTAATATTATCTACCTAATTAAGCCTCAGTTATTTTAGATTTCCTTTCAACTAAAGTACAGGATCACAGTTCAGAACTGGGGCTGTTCAGAGGAACCGAGCTGAGTGGCAGAAAGTGTTTTGAACGTGGGGGGAAAAGTTACTTCTGCATTGATGCCACAGCTCGTTTCAGCTCATCAAATCCACGTTTTAGGAGGTTTGTTTTGAAAGAGGTTCACAGTGCTTCTGCTCTTGCATGCTGTGAAGGACTTTTTTGGGATGTTGGTTTTTTTCTTTCCTGTAAAACTTGTCTGGAGTAGGAAGTAAGCTGCTTCCTGCCCTTAACTGAATGCTGAGGATTTATTGTAATTGGTCCTCAAAAGCCTTGGATTAGTTTTTTGACTTAAGGATTTTGGAGAGTGAAAATCAGCAAAGCACATTTTAAAGTGTTGGTTTTCTGTTTTTTTTTAAAAGGAATTTATTACTGAAAATCTAGTAAAAGTTCCATGTTGGCTGCCTGGGAGGGCATGCTGAAATTTCCTTGTTCTCATGGGATTATATTAACGTCAGTATTTCAGAGCTGTGCATGGAACTAGTGCAAAGCATTGTTTTATGACTTGTGTTGAAGAGTCTGGACGTGAGCAGCAGTGACCATGGCGAGCAGAGCCCTGGCACTGTGAGGAGGAGGCCTGGACATGCAGCCTGCGTGGAGAGGGTGAAGCGGGTGTGCGGGTGTGCCCTCCCCGGGGTGCTTTCCTCAGATGGCAGACACTGAGCTGAAAGTCATCTCTGCTGATCACCTCATACCCTCTCTCTCAGTTAGCACTTGTGTACAGATTGAATGCTGCTTTGCAGAGGTCTCTGTTCAGATCATGTCTTTGCTGTAAGAATGGAATGAGGAGGTCAAAATGCTTTAATGCCTCAGTGGATCTGAAATGACAAGCAGTGCTCTCTACAACTTCTGTACCCACCCTGGAGATATATTTTGTGCCTGTCTTAAGACAATCTTTATGAGAAGGATATGACAGCCACATCTTGGAGGGTTATAGAATCATAGAATAGTTTGGGTTGGAAGGGACCTTCAAAGGTCATCTAGTCCAATCCCCGGCAGTGAGCAGGGACGTTTTCAACTAGACTAGGTTGCCCAGAGCCATATCCAGCCTGGTTTTGAATGTCTTCAGGGGTGGTGCATCCACCACTTCTCTGGGCATCTGTTCCAGTATTTTACCACCCTCACTGTAAAGAATTTTTTCCTCCCATCCACCTGAACCTCTCCTCTTTTAGTTTAAAACCATCACCTCTCGTCCTAGTGCAGCAGGCCCTGTTAAAGAGTCTTTCCCCATCTTTCTTATAGCCTCCTTTTAAGAACTGAAAGGCTGCAATAAAGTCTCCCTGGACTCTTCCCACCTCCAGGCAGAAGACCGCAACTCCCTCAGCCTGTCCTCACAGGAGAGGTGCTCCATCCCTCTGATCATTTTTGTGTCCCTCCTCTGGACCCTCTCCAACAGGTCCATGTCTTTTCCTGAGCTGAGGACTCCAGAGCTGGACACAGTACTCCAGGTGGGGTCTCACCAGAGTAGAGGGGCAGAATCACCTCCCTTGTCCTGCTGGCCACACTGCTTTGGATGCAGCCCAAGGTACAGTTGGTTTCTGGGCTGCAAGTGCACATTGTCAGCTCATGTCCAGTCTTTCATCCAGCAGTGCCCCCAAGTCCAGCTCCTCAGACATACTCTCAATCCCTTCATCCCCCATCCTGATTTGATACTGGGGGTTGCCCTGCCCCAGGTGCAGGACCCTGCGCTTGGCCCCATTGAACCTTACGAGGTTCACATGGGCCCATTTTTTGAGCCTGTCCAAGTCCCTCTGAATGGCATCCCATCCCTCAGGAGTGTTAACCGCACCACTCGGCTTCGTATTATCAGGACACTTGCTGATGGTGCACTCAATCCCACCGTCCATGCCATTGATGAAGATATTAAACAGTACTGGTCCCAGTACAGACCCCTGAGGGATGCCACTTGTCACTAGTGTCCATACAGAAAATGAGCCATTGATTGCTACCCTCTGGATGCAACCATCCAGCCAATTCCTCATCCACCGAACAGTCCACCCATCAAATCCAGATCTCTCCAGTTTAGGGAGAAGGATATTGTGGGGGACTATGTCAAAGGCTTTACAGAAGTCCAGATAGACAACATCCATAGCCCGCCCTTTGTCCACTGATGTAGTAACTCCATCATAGAAGGCCATGAGGTTGGTCAGGCAGGACTTGCCTTTGGTGAAGCCTTGCTGCCTGTCTCGAATCACCTCCCTGTCCTCTATGTGCCTTAGCATAGCTCTAGAGGGATCTGTTCCGTGATCTTCTGAGGCGCAGAGGTGAGTCTGAGGTTGGTAGTTCCCAGGGTCCTCCTTTCCACCCTTTTTAAAAGTGGGTGTGATACTGCCCTTTTCCCAGTCACCACGGACCTTTCCCGACTGCAATGAGTGCTCAGGTATCATGGAGAGTGGCTTGGTAACTGCATCAGCCAACTCCGTCAGGACTCGGGGCTGGATCTCATCAGGTCCCATAGACTTACATATGTTCGGGTTCCTCAAATGGTCATGAACCTGATCTTCACCTACAGTGGGAGGGACTTTGCTCCCCCAGTTCCCGCCTTGCAGCTCGTGTGCACTTGCTGCTCATTCAGTGGAGCAGGAACGTTCCTCTAGACAGTGCAGCAGCTTTCAGTAGCTTCTCCATTTTACTGCAGTATTAGTCCACGTGGTACTAGCGTAGGGGCTGTGAGTCTAACGCTTACTGAGCTGAAACAGAAAGAAAAGCCCACCCATCCGCTGGGTGATTCTGATTTACTGCTGTGACAGATGAGTGTGTTCTGTTACACACTTGTGTGTTTCTTGGTCACAGCTATGAGGGAAAGGAAAGGGTTTACAACTATACTAGTTGCAAGAGAGAGAAGCAGCAGCTGCCACAAGGTCAGCATGCATGCTACATCAAAACCTTGAGGCCTCCTTGTGGTGAAATCCATGGGGAAAAAACACTTCTTTATTTCTTTGTACTCCCAAATCTCTTATGCAGAGACTGCTGGGTGCTCGAAAGCCTGTTAGACCAGCTGAAAGGTGACTCTGAGCTGTAGCTGGAAAATCAGTTTGTGCTGTGGTCAAACATCATCTTTTTCCCTCAGCCAGGGCTTTTCTTACTTGTAGGAGAAATTACATTGTGTTTTCAAGCATTGGTGAGGAACAGAGGTGAACCAGCACTGGCGATGAGATAAATGAAGTCCTAGAAATCATTTGGTTTCCGCCACTTTTCAATGAGTTCACATTGTACAGCTTAGTCATTTTTGATAACAGGGTTCAGACTCCGGAGTCACTTACTGCTGCCAAAACCACACCTAAAATAGGTAAACTGAAAGTGGAGCAGGCCGTCCTGAAGGACTGACCTTCAGAAAGGCAGCACTCGAGGAAACCTGTGTTACTGCCACATGCACAGGCAAAACCTGAAAGGATTGTGTTGCTGGCGCTTCCCTGTCCCTGTGGTGGGCTGGAGCGGGGTTACTGAGCACCCTCTCCCCAGGCTTCCTCCATAGGGAGGTTGCAGGTGGCTTTGCTGGTTGCTGAAGGTAGTGAAGAAACAGTGAGAGCCATTACCCGAGGTGGCATTACCCTGGTCTGTCTTCAAAACTGGGTTAAATGCTCTAATTGGTATCCTGTGGCTTCAGGCCTAGAAACTTAGAAGCCTGGCTTTTACTTTGTTTTGTAGAGGTCTTTGTAGGAAGGCTCTCTCCAATTATTTTCTTTAAAGAGCCATTAAAAGCATTTTACATGTGTTCAAAGCTGTAGATGGGCTTAGTTTAAAATACCGGGAACTAGTTTAATAAAAAAACCCCAGACAAAAGAAGAAACCCAGCCTTCTTTCCCTCTTTTCCATTCTTGTGTTTATTTTGACTAGTGTTATTACCCTGTGTATGGTAATGCTTACAGAATGATAAAAGATAAAAGGAGAAGAAGATTTTATTTTGGAAACAATTAAAGCGGATGTGAAAAATTTGTCCTTTTACTTCTCTTGATACATCTGCCAAGACTGTGTCCAGTGATGGGAGTGCTCGAGAGCTGGAAGAGAGGGGTCGGTGAAGACTAAGATAGGTGATCTTACCCTGGGAGTTTTTCAGTTCACTTCTTGTCCAAACTGCCATTTTTTCTTACTTTTTCTAATTTGTTTGCTATTTATCTTACCAGAATACTATTTGAAACTTCTCGCTTTCTCATGCTCCAGCCGCGGTTCCAAACCGTGGTTTGGAAGCTGTTGCAGGGAAGGTCCCATGTGTTCTGTAGGAATCTAAAATATTAGAAGAGGCTGACTGGTTCAATTCTTTGTTTCTTTGTGATGAAGAGAGTAGCTCCAGGAAGGGCTTGGCAGTCAGAAGTTCGACTGAGGAGCCTAAACTCTTCACTAACTAAACCACCTACGCTTAGGGACCTACATGTGAATGCAGGAATCCAGCTGTAATCATAGTCTCTAGGGAAGCTTAATTTACACCTCCAAAACACTTGGTTTCCATGCCTGCTGAAAATGATTGATTTCTGTTTGTTTCTCTCCAGATTGAATATTTGCTTAAAAAACTCACCGAAGCAATGGGAGCAGGCTGGCAGCAGGAGCAGTTTGACCATTACAAGATTGCTCTCAACACCAGTCGGGAGGGTCTTTCTGCATGGGAGCTGATTGATCTCATTGGCAGCGGGCAGTTTAGTAAAGGAATGGACCGACAGACAGTGTCCATGGCAATCAACGAAGTCTTTAATGAGCTCATATTAGATGTACTCAAACAGGTAAGAACCACAGAGAAATAATGCTTTGAAGTAGAACAATTTATTGCATAATTAGAAAATGTTCAACTTGTACTGAAATTTATTTACCTGATGGATAACGAGCAGGGGGAAAGTAAGTAAATGACTTATAAGGTTTCTTTAATCTGAGTTTATTTTTATAAAAAAGAAATTGTGCTACTGTTCAGATGGTTGTAATTGTTTGCACTATTATGATTGAGCTGCTTTGTTTTTAAAAGACGTCCTCTGACTTGAAATACAGCCTTTTTATACTAGTATGAACTGCTTGTTAGCTGACAGAATAGCTGCAACACATTGTCAGTTCTTAAACTGGTGACAACTCCTCAATCTTAGAAGATGCTGGTTTTTAGTTTCAGTTACATTGTAGCAAATAAAAGTTGTGCTGATGCAAACAAGGGCTTCTGGACAGAGGTACTACTCCAGCTGAAAGGTCTGCTTCCAAGTTGTACCACTTCAACAGGGCAAAAAGGTGTAGAAGAGTTCCAGAGCTCCCTCTCTTCTTGTTCTGCTTAGCAGGCTATGTGACTGACAGCTTACCCGTTCTTAAACACAAGAAGTCATTCTGGCCTTCGTATTCTTATCAAACATCTGTCAATCATCAGTTTCTTTGGATTTCCAGTTGCTGGATTATCAGTTTAGGAATGGTGTTAGAAACTGCATTTCTTTAGTGGAAACTATAGCTGTCACAGCAGAGCTTACCTAGAAAACTCTTTAAAACCGACTTTTACCTGACAGAGAAGTTTTTTCATCTTTGATTTCTTGGATTCTTGGTGAGGAGAGAAACAAAGGCTTTCTTGGCAGGCGTTCCCAAGCTGTTCTGAAGAAATCGTCAGAAAGTCTTGGCACAGGAAATTCTTTCAGAGTATCCACAGAACAATGCAACAGTCTATTTTTGTTAACTGCTGGTTGCCTGTTAGAGGTGAGGGCTGGGGACACATAGCCAGTCGAGGGCAAAACGAAGTCATTCTGGTGTTTAATACCATGAAAATAAAATAACCAGTGTCGGGTCAGTCCTTCCACTTGAGGATTGTGAGGAAATCGGATTTCTTGTCAGTTTTGATGCTGCATTGTGGCGCTCTCTTCACACCCCCACCCTCGCCCCTTTTTTTGTTCACTGTCTCCTTCCTTTCCTCTCTCAGTGGCTGCACTGAGACGTCCCAAGGATGTCTGAGTGTCTTTGAATAGTTCCTTGACACATAAAAACAGTTTGTGTCAAGATTTGGCCGAACACCTCCTGGATAGTCACTGGCCTGCTGGAGGGCAGAGTTCCCTGTGTGACCTGGAGGTGTCTGGTTCGGTTTATTAAAGTCTGTGATTACTTCAAGGTATTAATGAATGACATGTTGTAGCCAAGTGTCTTATTACCTTTTTTATTGCCCACTTACCGTGGCTCTCTGAGGCCTGCGGAGAGTAGCAGTGATAGTGACATTTGTGATACCAGGTTTCTGATAGTCGTGTCCTGTCACATAGTGGTTGGTGTGAACAGATCTCCAGGGGCTCTTGCAAGATAAGAACCCGCTGCTGCACTGAAATAATAGGCGAAGATTTCACAGCAGTTTGAGGGGAAAATACCAGTCTGGCTTAGCTTTGAAAGCAAATTCAGTGTGTCAGGAGGGGGAAAAGCACCTGGTGACGGCCTACGCTGACGGCATTGCAGACTGAAGCTGCGGGAGTCCTTCACGTGCCCCTGTGACCGCCCAGACCTCAGACCCGAGCACGGAGGCGGCAGACAAAGCTGTTTCTCTGCGCGTTCCTGCTTTGGAGAGGGGGTGGGGTGGCACAGGGGAATAGGCACGGCCTTGGTGGTTCTGGCCACGTTTAACTGGCTAGAAAAGCCAAGCATAGCTAAGCTGTATGTGTAGGGGGGTGTTTCTTCTTTTATTTAGTTTTTAAACAAAAGAGCTGCTCCAACTGTCCTAACTTAATTTCCCTCACACCTGTACAGAAAGACACTTCTGACTTGAATATGTCACAATGCATTTATTTGTTGTCTTGTGTCAAAAATCGCTGTAGCTAAAAGCCATTACAGAAGGATGTTCCTTGGTCTCCTTTCCGACTTCTTCCATCCTCTTAATCTGAAATACTTGGAGTACAGTGCTTTCAGTATGGCTTGTTCATAGCTATGTTGATGTAGGTGTTTTGGTTTCATCAGCGATTTGACTTATTTCTGAAGTTAGAAGCCAGACGGAAGTATGTATTAATGGGGGATTATGGTTTCAGAAAGGGCAACTGCACTTAGTATTGCTGCTTTTATTTTAGATAGGTTAATACTCAATAGAGGTCAACCTGGGTGATTTGATCATAATACCAGCCTATTTATTGTCATTACAGAAGATTATAATTTTTATTCTTTTATTTGTATAAAGCTCAGTGGCAAAGTTGCAGGCTTATCTTCTTTTGAAATAGTTTTGTTATGGCCTGCAAGTGTTTTTCTCATATAGGAAGCTGAGTGGATTATCTTTCAAAGAAAATAAAATACTGTGAGTGAAAACTTGGCGTTGTTTAAATCAAGGTACAACTCTGTTCCTTTAAGGTAAAATCCAGGCATCACCAGTCTTCCCATATCCCATCCAATAAAGATACCAGGAGTATGGTTCTATTACCAGTTTTTCTAATGTACTCATTGAAGTATCCTATATGGAATTGTCTCTTCAGTTGGGGTGCAGCTAAATAGGTATGTTGGCAGGGTAGAGCCACTCCCAGGGCAGAGGTGCTTCTGCTTCCTCCCCCAGAATATCCTATAAACAGGCTGGATTTATAGCGTGTAGATGCAGGCCCACATCTGTCACTGGGGCGCATCCACACAGGACTGACTTCTAGTAACAGCTGTCATTAAAGTATTGCAGGTGAGTCTTAGCAATGGCAAATGTCATAGAATCATAGAATGGTTTGGGTTGGAAGGCACCTTCAAGCCCACCTAGTTCCAACCCCTGCCACAGGCAGGGACACTTTCCGCTAGAGCAGGTTGCTCCAAGCCCCTGTGTCCAACCTGGCCTTGAACATGTCTCTGCTTGACTGAACAAAACTAAACATTAAAGGTCATCAAAGAGGACATCACTGTCCTTACTGGCTAATTTAATGGAGGATTCAGTGCTTTAAAGTTACGGACAGAGGATGAATTGTGTCTTTGACTTCAGAGTTGACTCCAGTGTATATTTGGTGGTGGGAATACGAAAGTGTCAGCTTTATGATTTTAACAGGCATTGCCAATAGAGTTAAGTTACAGAGGGGAAATAAATGAGGAAACTTTGAGTTAAGTATGTATCAGTGTTGAAGTTAATAGCCAGGAGTGGATTCAGTATTTTAAAATCATGTCTGAAGGCATGACATAACATTTTACTGAATGGGAAGAAACTGTTTCAGGATAGAAAAATGATGTGTTGACATTCCTGCCTTTCTCACGTGCATTTTTGTTGCTTTTATTTTCTCAGTCCTGTACTTCTGAAAGTTGTTTGCTATAATAAGAGGTGCTGGATCCTTCACATGCAGTGTGCATTCTTGAAGGCTACTTAGGGTTAACTCTGGCTAACGAAGAAAAATTGAAAGTAATCATTAGCTCCTTTAAGATTTCAGGGAAATGGCTGTATGAATGTGCTGATTCTGCCCAGTGGAATCTTGTCTTTTTCTGTTGCTCCACAGCAGTGGTACTTAAATTAAAAGCACATCTTTGTGGGCTGATAGGATTTCACTGTTAGGTCAGAACAGGTTCCTGCAGTTTAGGAACCAAATAACTTACTTGGGCAGTGACACACAGGAATTGCCACGGCAGCAGTGGACATACCACCTCCCAGTTCATTCATCCATCTTCAGCATCAAACAGGATCATCATAATGACTTGATAATGGCATAATAACAACAATTGTTCAGTTCTTCAGGTAACCCAGTTACTTAAAATCTGGACAGAAGAACAGTGAGTAGTTTCTCATGGGTTAAACAGTTAGCAATGTGCCTGTACTAGGAATGGAAGTGTATAGGTGAAGTGTTTAGGGTCTTGAGCTGACTTTTCTGTGTGCTCTATTGGACCTTATAGAATCATAGAATGGTTTGGGTTGG